TTATTTCTTCAAATAAAAAGATTTAGACAAAATTACTAAATTTGATCTAAAGATAGATATATATATATATATATATATTTTATTAAACTTGAACTGTGATGAGTTCTTGTTCCTCAGCAGACTGATTTGTGATTGTTATTATTAGATATGGGTGGGTGCAAAACACAAAGTGCGCATGGCTGCTGGTCTCATGACTCTTTTCTTGCTTTACATTACCAAAGAAAAACATGGGAAAAGCCTTCATCAACTATGTTGCAAGTCACCCTACACCAATTCTCACCCCATCCAAAAATAAATAAATAAAAACCAATAATACAATATTGAATCACAGCTTTAAGTACATCTCAAGCAAACTGAGTGGCTCTTTTCACTATCTCTATTTTCCTATGTTTGGTGGAAAATCTATACCCACTTTAGTTATTTTATTCTCTATCAATAATAATAATAATAATAATATTTTGTATAAAACCCTTCACTTCTCCACCACCAGCATAAGTTACAGAAACTTAGAAGCTAGTTTGACAAACCCAAAATGGATCATAACGAGAAAGCTTACATCAAGCAGGATAGACAACAGTTTAGCTGCTGTGTTGTATATAAGCTATGGAGGGTAATATGATTGAACAATATCGGGAATAATTTCATATCCAACCGGTGAAAAGGAATCCGGTAACAGACACCAAAATCTACTAATGTAACAAAAGATAAATGAACCAAAATCCAAAAGGGTACAAACCCATAAGACACAAGGAGAAACAAGAACAAAAAAATGGAAATGAAAAGAAATGAACCTCAACAATCTATTCTCTTGCTTCCTTCTGTTCAACAGAGAAACCGGATTCTTCTTCACCAGAAAATGCAGTTTTGTATTTTGCTTGTTTCTTTTTAACTTGATCTCTACAAGACTTTTTAAAATTTAAATTCATTCCAACTCTGAAGGGCATTGTACCATTTCTAAGATATTCACCACCTCTTCCATGTCTGGCCGATTGGAAGGCACTTGAGATGCACAGATCAAACCAAGCTTTATTACAGGAATTGCCTCCTCAGCTGGAAAATTACCCCTAAGCCGCCCATCAATGCATTCTTCCACCTTCCCATCCTCCAGTGCTCCCCTCACCATCTCACAAAGAACAATCACATCATCCTCCATGTATTCCACTGGTCTCTTCCCAGTAACAACTTCCAAAACCAAGACGCCAAACCCATATATGTCGCATTTCTCAGTTATCTTCACTGTTCGACAAGCAAACTCAGGGGCCATGTACCCAAGAGCACTTTGTATCTTGCTGCTTAAGATGCAGCGGTCTAACATGGGCAACAGCCTTGCCAGGCCAAAGTCTCCCACCTTGGGTTCCCCAGAGCTGTCTATCAGAATATTAGTTGATTTCAAATTGTAGTGTATTATGTCCATTTGATGTAAATACGCCAACCCTTTGGCCATCCCCAGAATTATGTTAAACCTCTGTCTCCAAGAAAGGGAACTATGGCCTGGTCCATCATGGAGATGCTTGTACAGACTCCCACCAGGTACAAATTCATAGATCAGAAGCTGCAAAGATGCAGTCCAGTAGTACCCTTGGAGTTCCACGAGATTGTGGTGCCTAATCTTTCCAAGTTTTTTTATTTCCCTTTCAAAATCTTCTTGAGACTTGATCAGACTCGAAACCGTTAGCTTCTTGATTGCAACAGGAGATCCATCTCGGAGGACTGTTCGATAAACAACTCCAAACCCACCTCGACCTAGTTCACAGTCCTTGTTGAGCAGTGCATGGTCCCCAGCAACAAATTCAGAATCACCAGAGAACATTACAAGCTTACCATAATTTGGATCATTAGAAGGAGAACAACTGAAATCTTCCCCACCAGATAATAAGACTGCTGCAGCAGCACGTG